AAAAGTAAGTCTGTGGTGACCACAGACACACACGGGTATTGCTCAGGCAGCCCCAGCTTGGGAACATCAGGATGTCAGGGAAAGATGGTAGTGAGCTTTAAAGGGAAGCATTTATTGAGCAGTTTCATTGTGTGTCCTGGATTACTGGAACATGATACAGTCTGACTCTAGTGTAACACTGCTCAAACCAGACTGAGAATTGTTTACAATACCACGGGCAATTTGAAACTTTGCAATTTCAACAATGGCGTCAAATAACTAGAACATTTTTTTTGAGTAATGTAATCACAGTGATTTATAACTTCATACAAACGTGTTTCTAGTTTACAAACAGGCTACCACTGATCCCTTTTATCTCACACATAACTAAAATAATAAATTGCAATCTTGGTATCACTCTAAATTAAAAATTACAAAGAAGGTTTTTAGAGTTGAAATAAAACTTTACTTTTACCATCTCATCAACCACTTTATTAGTCAACAATCCTTGCTGTTCTGCCTATTTCTGAGTCTTGGTAAGACTTACCAAGACTTATTTCTCTTACCCTTGTCTTTAGTAGCCTTTTTAGGTCACTGCCTTTTTTGTCAGTTGATTAAAAAAAATTTTTTTTCCAATTACAGTAGACAGTCAATATTATGTTAGTTTCAGGTATACAGCATAGTGGTTAGACATTTATATAACTTACAAAGTATACCCTGGGTAACTCTTGCACCCACCTGACACCATGTATCATTATTACAAAATTACTGACTATACTTCCTAAACTGTACTTTACATCACCATGACTATTCTATAACTGCCAATCTGTACTTCTTAATCCTTTCATCTTTTTTACTCAATTCCTCAGCCCTATTCCCACCTGGCGACCATCAGTTTTATCTGTGTATGAGTTTACTTCTGTCTTGCTTGTTTTTCAGATTCTACACAAAAATGAAATTATATGGTATTTGTCTTTTTCTGTCTGACCTATTTCACTTAGCACAATACCCTCTAGGTCCATCCATGTTGCTGTGAATGGTAAAACCTCATCCCTTCTAATTTTTTTTTTTTTTTTTTTTTTTTTTTTAAGGCGAGGCAACCCTTGGTTGACCTCACAGATTGCAAGGGACCTTACGATCCCTTATTTCTTTTATTTTATGCCTACAGCACCTGGTCTTCCTAGGTGGTCTCCCATCCAAGTACTAACCAGGCCCGATCCTGCTTAGCTTCTGAGATCAGACAGGATCGGGCTTGTTCAGGGTAGCATGGCCGTAGACAAGAGCTCATTCTTTTTTATGGCCAAGTAATATTCCATTGTTCACATGTACTATTTCTTCTTTATCCATTCGTCTTTTGATTGGAGCACCTAATCCATTTACAGTTAAAGTAATTATTGATAAATATATAGTTATTGCCATCTTATTAACTGTTTTCTGAATGCTTTTGTAGCTCCTCTGTTCCTTATTCTCTTACTCTCTTCTATGTTGATGACTTTAGTATTGTGTTTGGATTTCTTTCTCTTTATTTCTTGTATATCTCTTGTCAATTTTTGGTTTGTGATTACCATGTGCTTCAAACATACCAACCTATGTTTCTAGCAGTCTATTTTAAGTTGACGGTTGCTTAAGTTCTAACATATTCTATTTTCACTACCATTTTAACTCATTCCTCCACATTTAAGTTTTTGGCATTATTTTTTACTTCTTTTGTGTGTTTTATGTTTATCCCTTAATTTACTGTTGTAATTACACATGCTCTCCCTACACTTTTGCCTTTTAACCTTTGTACTATCTTTCAGTGTTAGCTGATCCACTGCTTTTATTATGTGTTCACCTTAGTCAGTGAGAATGTTTTTGTGATATCTCTTACTCATACTTTTAATTTTTTCTTCTTTTTAAAAGAATCAGTCAGAAATAAAGAATACAATAACTAAAATGAAGAATGCATTAAATAAAATCAACAGCAGATTAGATGAAGCAGGGTACTGAATCAGCAATTTGGAAGACAAGGTAACAGAAAACACCCAATCAGAACAGCAAAAAGAATCCAAAAAAATGAGGATAGTTTAAGGGGACTCTGGGACAATATCAAGCATAACAACATTCGTATTATAGAGGTACCAGAAGGAGAAGAGAGAGAGCAAGGGATTGAAAACCTATATGAAGAAATAATGACTAAAAACTTCCCTAACCTGGCAAAGGAAATAAACATACAAGTCCAGGAAGTACAGAGAGTCCCAAAACAAAATGGACCCAAAGAGGCCCATACTAAGACACATCGTAATTAAAATGCCAAAGGTTAAAGCCAAAGAGAATCTTAAAAACAGAAAGAGGAAAGCAGTTAGTTACCTACAAAGGAGCTCCCATAAAACTGTCAATGGATTTCTCAACAGAAACTTTGCAGGCCAGAAGGATTGGCAGGAAATATTCAAAGCAATGAAAAGCCAGGACCTACAACTAAGATTACTCTACCTGGCAAAGCTACCATTTAGAACCAAAGGACAAATAAAGAGCTTTCCAGACAAAGAAAAACTGAAGTTCATTACCACCAAACCAGTATTACAAGAAATGTTAAAGGGACTTCTTTAAGAATCACTGCCTATTTACATACTCTCTATGTAGCCTTTGATGCATCTTTCAGGCTAACATTCTATGCTTTGCTTCTATGTTGGTTCACCTCTAGGTTATGTTCATGCTCTGATTATTTATTATTCTGATACTCTTGATCCACACGCTTTCATCTTGACCATTTTCTATCTTGTTGAAATCCAGATTTCACTTCTAAGATTAGCTTTCTTCTCTGTTCTCCTAATGAAATCACTCTATACTTTTATACATTAAATGCTTGCCTTATCTTCCTATAAAAAACTTCTCCTTCCTTAAGAATTACCAATTACATTGGTTTCATTCAAATCTTTGCTTCTAAGATCTTAGAAGCATGCTATTATTACACTCAAACTTTTCATTTTCTATTAGGTTCTACTTTCTTAATACCACTTGCTACTTTTTTACTCTATCTTTACCCTAGTTCTTACTGCTTAAATTGTCCCCTATGACCGTCTGTTCCTTCTCCTCCAACTTTTACACTTAATAATTCTGATTATTGAGAAATTTACTAAAATTTTATTTCCCTTTTCTCATATTTTCTAATTTATATATTCACTGTGTATGACTAACAGGGCTGAAATTAAGTATAATTACTAATCTTGTCAACTAAAAAATTCAGAGTACACATGCACAACATAGGATAAAAAAATCTAAATAAATGTTGATTCTGTTTCTTATCTACCTTAAGGCTTGTACTCCAATGACTCTGCTCAAACTGTATTCTTTCTATGCATAACCAGAAGTATCCATCACTGTCTATAGAGACACAAATGATATCAGGAGAAAAAAAAAAAGGCAGGTGGTATAGGTATAATCCACACATACATGTTAAAATTACACAATGCCCAAGAGTCTTCCCTCATAAAAGTAGACAACTCTTCTTTAAAAGGCACACAAGTAGGTTTGCTCCCAAGTTAATGATTTATTAGGGGCATTATATAGCTAAAAATCAAAACTTTAAAACCCAAGTTTGATATTTCAGTGAGTCTTAGGCTATAAAACTAAACATTCCACAGTAATAAATAAAGATGAAAGGTAGCATAAAGTTTTGGGTTTGAGGTGGATCATCCTAACAGACTCCCCTCAAATGGTTAAACTGGCATAGGAAGACCTTGTATCAAACCACTGTGGTGGGAAGTGGTACAGAGGGAATGAGTGGGAGTTGGGGAAAATGTAATAACAAAACCAGTATATAACATGGCACAATGATGACATGTGCCAAGATCAGGGAGATCTAAGTAACTCAACCCTTTGCACCTGAAGGCAAAACAAACCCAAACAAAAGGAACTCCAGGGAAGCAATATCTTTTCTTAAATCCCAGAGATAACAATATATCATCAAAATACTTCACATATACAGTTATGAAGTCTTTAGGATCAAAACATAACAAAAAAAAAGAAAAGAAAAGAAAATTTACACCCAGAATAAGTAAAAAGTTGAAGCTGGAGAAAGTTATAGTGGCATGATAGAAGAAATAGCTGTGTAAGTCATTTTCCTATCATACTGACTTATTTCTGCAGATATTCCTGGAGAGAATAACCAGTCAAATCAATGATGACCCAGAAGACACCCTTTTACTCGGTGGCATTTGGCCTTGATTACTTCTCAGGTCTCTTTTCTCCCAAAAATGGAATGTTATCATTTTAAACAGACAACACTCTAGAATAAAAAGAAATACTGTACTCTCTTCCTAGCCAAAATTTAATTTTCTATTTGTTCTAATGTAGGAATACTCTTTAAAATCGTCTTTTCCACTAGCTATTCTACATAGAGATGAAAGCTTTAAATCTTAGAAATAATTATCAGCTCATACTAACAGACTAAAAGAAATCAGTGTATACTTCTTATAAGTGAAAGGTATACACTGATTTCTCAATACTCCAATGTCATTTTATTCTCACACAGAAAGATATCTGTGTTGTCCTTAGCAGTGACAGGATATTTAAGAAGAGTCAGAAATCAAAAAAAAGAAAAGCATAAGATTCATAGACAGAGATCACCTTGAACTGATGCAAACTATATTAGCTAGAAGAGAATATTTATAAGACTAATTCTTCTAAGCACTCTTGACATTGAACTGAGTTTAGTATGTCATGCTCTAAATACCTGTTCTCCTTAGGATCACAGGTTTGTACATCAACACAGATAATGACAGGTAAGCTATCAAATGCCATACAGCTAACTATATAGAAGGTTAAGACCACATTCTATAAAAAAAAAAAAAAAAA